CTCGGCCATGGCTCTCAGCAGGAAAGTTCTACCAACTAGACTGATGTGAGAACTCCTGCAGAAGAGAATTGTCTGATACTCTGTTGCTGGTATACTCTGCCTCCCATCCTTATCTTAGAATGAAATTCAAGTATGGACTTCTTGGCTCTTGTAACTACAAGTCCACTGTAGAAGGAAAGCAATGACATGTTATAAATCATACCACATTGATTCTGTATTAGTGAACTTTTTTTTTTCTTCCCAGTGCTAGGGATTGAATCCAGAATCTCACACATGCTTGGCAAGTGCTCTGCCACTGAGCTACATTATTAGCCCTAACTTATGTGTAAGATCAAACAAAAAAATTGTGAATTCTTTATTATCATGTCATATTATTGCAATATTAAACTTCTCTTTACTTTCTTCAAATGATAATGGCCAGCTCACCACTTCAAGAAAATGATTGTACTACCTATGTAGAAACAATGCCTACAAAGCCTTCCCCAAAATCTGGTTTGGTACTATTTCATGGCCTATGGAGGGCCCCACTCTACATGTAAAAAGGAAAGCTATTTCCTGGTAAGCCAAATACCTTAGAAAATATAGGAGATATGAAGAAAAAAGAAGTTTATTCACATTTGTGCCAGTAGATAAGCTGTAGCAAAATCTAATGTGTATTTATTGATTTTATTTTTCTAATCTCAGAATCGATAAATAATAAAATCAATTAAAAAACATTCTCTGGGATTATAAAGATATGAAAATGCAATGCTAGGCTACTCATATGACTTTCAGAAATTATTTTTTTGGTCTTAGTGTTTGAACATGATTTGCTGTCTGTATAACAAAGAGATTTGCTTGTGTTAATGAAAAAATATTGCTGAATATATACAAACCAATTAAGACTAATAAAATTTAAATGCAATAAAGTAAAAAAAATTGTAGTTTAGAATATTTTTGGAGGCTATGATAATTTCTTCACCACTTAAGAAAATTTCTAAATAAGGCAAAGCAGTGATTAAGTGACCTGTTGATATCATATTCAAATATTGCTTTACAAGACTGTCTACAAGTCATCTGATTCTAGAGGTATGTAATTTTTTAACATACTATTTACTGTTCATTAATATTTCTGAGATCTTCAAACATTGTATAATTATATTATGTTAGATGACATAAATGTTCTAATTTTTGTTGATATCCTTTTATTCATGGTATAAAAGATAATGTTAGGGTTGTATTGACCTTTAAGGCATTAATTGGATTACATAGAATTTAAAAAAATTTTGTTTTGTGTTATTTTTGTGCTCAGATTATTTTAAATCACATATTTTATATTCTCTTTTGCTATGACTATGTTATCCTGCTGACTCTCATTAATGAGATAAATACATTTTTGACATGCTCATCATCTATTAGTGAATTATGTGCATGGCATTTAAAATATTGTACTCTGACAACAATTTATAAAAAATATTCAATTATATTATAGTGAGAGCAGTTTTGTTTTCTGAATGAAATCTACCAGTAGGTGCCAGTAGATAAGTTGCTTGAGGTGTCAGGTCACTCAGGTGTTTTATTAAGGAACATGAAGGAAGTGTTTCTTCTTCAGGTTCCAGGATTAGCTTGGTATTAATCCTTCATTTTCTACCATTCCAAGGCACATGGTTGAGACAGAAACCAGTGGGAATCCTTTTGCTCAGGTACAGGTTGAAACCTGAAAAATGGGTGGCATACAAAGTCCCAAATTAATCAATACAAAGTAAGTAAAAGGCATGGACTATTATGCATCAGGTCTGACTATTTCAGAGAGCACAGGGTCAGTTTTCAGGCAAGAACTGAAATGCAGACAAGTCAAACAGCAGCAGCAGCCTGGGGAATATCAGGGATCATTAGGCTGAGCAGTGGTGTAAGTACCTTGAAAACCTCAGCTACAGCCAGAGCTCTAGGGACAGAAGATTGTTGCAATCTATACAATCAGCCCTCAGTGAGAGCTTGGCTTATAAGGAAGCAGTTAGGGCACAGATTGGGCAACTGTGGCGGTCACCTTATGATTGCTCATTTTCAGAGCTTGAGACTGTGAGAAGGGGGTTGGTGGGATGGAAGGCAATATAAAATATTCCTTCCTCGAAGCCACATAGCTCCTCACAAGCAATGATGTAAGTTTCTCATACGTGTTTATTCATAATCCACTCACCTCCTTGCTCCCTCTTCTGTCTTGAATGTCATTTTCATTTTTATGCTTATTATAATCTATGATCTTTTTCTCTGTAACTCTAGCATTCATCATTTTCAATTTAAGTGATCATTTGAGCTTTATTGCTCTAGATTCTTAGAAGCATTGACAGAAAAATGAAATTTCTATAGCATCAAGGAATTTTGGGGTTAGTGGTATCTTGAAAAGTGAAAATATTATTTTGCAGTGATCTAATTCACTGTGGACCTTTGGACTGCTCTGATGCTAAATGCACTTAACTGGCCACACTCGTCCTGATAGAGAATAAGGACTTTGGGTTACTTCCCCCAACTTTACCCCTTTTCAGCAGGAGATATCATTGCCCATTCAGTTTGGAGATATCATTGCCCATTTTTTTTTTCATAGAAATGAAATGTAGAAATTGACATTGGGGAAATTTAATGGTGGTCCACTTTATGCTTTGAATATAACCCTTGCTGCTCTGAAAAAAAAAAAGAAGAACAGACTACCTAATTCTACTACACTTCCTCTTAGATCCTATTTTCCATTTCTGTAATCATTTAATTTGCTTTTGCTAAATCTTTATGTATTTCAAATGCAATTTAAAATTCAATATTTCAAACAAGGCCAAAAATGTTTACAGCAGAGAGTATGCCTTTCTTGAGAAGAAATGCTGCCATGGGTGTCATCTTCAAGGACACCATTTCTTGGTGTTTCAAGGGAAATTAGAAACACAACTGACATCTCCCAAAAGAGTTCAGATGGCATTTAAACTTCAGCTAAAAAATCATTTCACATTGTTTGTATGGTCAAGTTTTTTTTTCCCTATAAGAACACTTTGAGTGTAGCATATATGTAAAATAGCAAAAAATACACTCTACACACACACACACACACACACACAAATTCTATGGTGAGAACTTTACTATCTTTCTTAGTATTTTCCTCATAGCCCTTTCTGACTGCATGTTCAGGAAAAGTAGAGACTAGCTGCTCAGCTGATCATGAGTAATCCTGTGTTATTTCAAGAGCTTGATTTTTGTTCTTTTCCCTTTTGGCAGAGCAGCCCTTTCCCAAAGACTTGCATTTCTCATTAAGCATTCTAAATTTCTTTGGCCTATCTTGTAAACTAAAAACAAATTCTTTTGCTATTCTTAGGCTTTATAACACAAAATCCTTGATAGGGTTTTGTCCTTCTACTAAGAGAATGATAATGGAACTGACATTTTTTAATGTGGTTCTTCTGGCCCTGCAGAGATTTGACAAGGAAAATGTCTTTAAATTGAATTTTTTTCTTAGCTGATACATAAACATAAAAATTGTGTATGTTAGTGGGATAACACACAATGCATTGATATATGTATGGATTGTGAAATGTTCAAATCATATCTGCCTCCTCAAACATTTATCATTTTTTATGATGCAAATCTTCAAAAGCTTTTCTTTTACCCTTTTGAAATGTGTATTACATTGTTGTGCAAATGCACATCTTGCCTATTTTATGTAAATTTAAAATTTTGAGATCACTATTAATCAGAATCTTTTCTTATATTAAATATGTAGGAACTGTTCAAACATTTATAGTACTAAAAGTCTCTGATACTAAATATGACTAAAGAAGTAGGTTGTAAACTAGGGTTTAAGGATGATTTATAGTAATTTGGGTTATGTTTTGAATAGTTTCTCTTGTTTAATCTACCCTTCTGATTTATTTAATTTTGATCTTGTCTAATTAGATACAAACTTATTTTTTTAAATCTGTTCTGTGGCAGTAACAAGGGTATGATACATCTGTCATGTACTATGTTTTCACATTAAGGAGTAATCACAATTTTTTCCTAATTATATTTCTAATGTCTTGGTGAAAGACATTATTGAGAAGACTTCTTGTCATTAAAGATTATTCTTTCAGGAATTCAAGTACTTTTCTTTATTGTCTTTGCAAATCTCTGGCACTGAGTATAAATGATTTTATCAAATATCTTTCTTTGAATGGTTTGAGAGAACTAACTACAGCAAAGAATAGGTAACTAGATATAGAAAAGTACAAATCTTGTCTCATTCCACATTTTGTCTAGAACTGGTTCTAGACAGAATATTGTCTAATTTAGAATAGAAGCAGCTACTAATTTTTAACTACTTCAATGGAAAAAAATATGTCAGTGTTCCCTGAGTTTTTATTTGTAATCCAAGATATTCTCACCCAATATTGGGTCTGAATGTGAATGTTGAGTATGACAAAAATGGATAGAATTATATCTTAGTGTATCCTTTATGTGTATCTTTGATTGTTGAAGAGTCTAGAACAACATGGCCTTGATTCTTTTTATTATCTTTTCATACAAAATAGGCCATGGTGGCCTTTTGCACCTGCCTCATTGGTATGAGTTATTGTCCTTGGTATTTTTCTCTTGTTGATTAGTGTCTTCTAGTCATTACCTTCCACTGAGCTGTATACTTCCCTAAACTTTAAAGATAAATATTTTATTTCTTCTTACCCAGTCTCTACAAACTTCCCATTCTCTGTGACCTGGAAAAATAATAATTATAATAATAAATACAAAGAACACAAATTCCTTTTTCAGTTCTTCCTAAGTGATTCACGTTTCATAACAGACATTTATGATAAGTGTTGACCTTTGCACGACATATAAACTCATTGTTTACAAATCTTCTCCCTTTGATTTGTTAAGTTATTGAACTTCTGTTATGCAGTAAGCACTGTGGTGTAGATATAAAGATGAATAGGAATTTGCTTCATCATATTTTCCTGACTTAATTTCTCTTGTACCAATCCAATTCTTCTTTCTTTAGGTCTATTCTTGGCTTGATGAAAAAGGAAAATGACACTAAGGTGACAGAATTTGTACTTCTGGGCCTGTCATCCTCCTGGGAGCTACAACTATTTCTCTTTTTAATATTTTTGTTGTTCTATGCTGCAATTGTCCTGGGAAACCTCTTGATAGTGGTGACAGTGCGAGCTGATGCTCACCTGCTCCAGTCTCCTATGTACTACTTCTTGGGCCATCTCTCCTTCATTGATCTGTGCCTGAGCTGCGTTACTGTGCCCAAGATGTTAGGTGATTTCTTACAGCAGAACAAGACTATTGGTTTTTTTGGATGCCTGGCCCAGATCTACTTCCTGCACTTTCTGGGAGCCAGTGAGATGTTTCTGCTGACAGTTATGGCCTATGATAGGTATGTTGCCATATGCAATCCTTTGCACTACCTGACAGTCATGAACCGCCAGCTATGTCTTCAGTTGGTCTTTGCTTGCTGGTGTGGGGGTTTCATCCACTCAATCACACAGGTCATCCTGGTCATCCAGCTGCCTTTCTGTGGCCCTAATGAACTGGACAACTTCTACTGTGATGTTCCCCAGGTCATCAAGTTGGCCTGCATGGATACCTATGTGGTAGAGGTGCTGATAGTCTCCAACAGTGGTCTGCTGTCTCTTGTCTGCTTCTTGGTCTTGCTCTTCTCTTATGCTGTCATCCTGATCACCCTAAGGACTCGCTTCTGCCAGGGAAGGAGCAAGGCACTGTCTACCTGTGCCTCCCACCTAATAGTGGTCAGCCTGATCTTTGTGCCATGTGTATTCATCTACTTGAGACCTTTCTGCAGCTTCTCTGTGGATAAGGTATTCTCTGTGTTTTACACTGTGATCACACCCATGTTGAACCCACTCATCTACACTCTCAGAAATGCTGATATGAAGAAAGCTATGAAGAAGCTGAGAAAAAAGCACGTGGCAACCTGTTGCCCTTTTGAAGGATAAACAGGAAGAGGTGACTTGGAAAAGAGTTTTTCTTGGGATTCTGTTACCTTATTCTGCACATTCATGTACATGCAATTCTGGTGACTTTGGTACAAAACACAAGATATCATTGTAATTCATGCCTCTTGATAAGATACAGTAAGACACAGTGGCTTTCTTGGGTACAAAATATTAAGCAGGGAACTCAGAATTATTTAATGGCTGACAAATGATGGAGGTTAATTGAATGGTAGAATTAGAGGAATCTTAAAAGATCAAGTCTTCTATCATTCTGTCCACAAAATGTCTTTACTTATTCATTTTACTATTTGTCCCTACTTAGACGAAAGAAGACATTACATCTCCTTTTGTGTCCTGCTTCTCCAGGGTCGAAAGATTCCTAGTGTGAGGAGGATCCTCCTGACATTTCATCACAATCTCTTTTGAAGCAGTGTGAATTCCCTTTGTCCTTGCTCTAACAAGCCTGCAAACCATGCTGAACTCCCCATAAGTTAGTGTTCACCCAGGAACTGTGCTGCGTACTGTGCCAAATTTTAAAAATATGGTCAGACAACTCGGGTGAATGGACATATGCTCTTCACAGTGTTTACATGTGAAGGACAGGAGGCCTGAGAATTCTGGGATGATGAAAGCTGCCCCTGTTCTGCTGCAGAGAATTCTCTGGAAGAGACATCTCTTTTTCACTCTGAGATTTTCTTTAAGTGAAATTATAGTAGGGTGAACTTTATAAGCTTTAGCTAATCATAATGTTTAAGAGCTCTGAGCACTGGGGCTGGGGATGTGGCTCAAGCGGTAGCATGCTCGCCTGGCATGCATGCTGCCCGGGTTCGATCCTCAGCACCACATACAAACAAAGATGTTGTGTCCGCCAAGAACTAAAAAAAAAAAAAAAAAAAAAAATTAAAAAAAAATTCTCTCTCTCTCTCTCTCTCTCTCTTTAAAAAAAAAAGAGCTCTGAGCGCTAAAGAAAAAGAAGCAGAAATGATCTATCATTTAAAGCATTCTCCACATCCTGAGGTGCTCATAGTTAGGACCCCTGAGTCACACATGGGCTTTGAGGAATAGACAATATCATTGAACTTCATTTTTACCAAGGAACTCAGTGCTGTAAGCAACTTGCCCAAGATTGCTTAGAAAAAAGTGTAATTAACCAAGAAAGCTAGTAATTTTAGATAATTTATCTATTTTTTCCCTCCTCAGAAAAATATTTTTATCAAATTTATATGGACTAACTTCTTGATTTGTGCTGTGTCTATATAGGAGCTCCAAAGCTATGAGATCCTTAAAAAAAGTTTGCTTAATGTTTATGTTTAAAGTTATCTATTTCTGATATAAGGCTCCTTGCAACTTTTTATCCCATAGAAATGTATTTATTCTATTTGCTGTATAAAAAGACAATGATAAACTCTTAGCAATATTTTTATATTTTCTCCCTTTCTTCCCTAATCAATTGCTATGGAGAAGATTTTCTGATTACTTAGTTGAAAAGCATACCTAAGAAAGGAATATCTAAAACTCTAATAATTATTAGGATTTTCTAGCTAATTTTCAATACTATTGGACATGAAAAGCTATTTTTATATGGGAACAAATCATGCATTTTTATTTTTGTGCTGAGACTCTATGTTTAAGACACTGTGTATGTATGAATGTACATAAGTTTTGATATAGAAGGAATCTTCGCAGACCAGGAGCATGGTGGCCACTGGGGAATTTCAGCACAGGGCAGGTGGGGGTGGGAGTGGCACCCCTGGCAGTTGTTCCTCTTTCCTTTTTGATCCACTCAACATTTCAACAGATGTTCTTTGCTTACAATGAACACCCTGAAGAACAGGAGAATACCCTGAAGGTAATATCCCTAAGAGTGGGAAACTCTCAGCCAAAGAGTGCTGTGTGGGTTGACAGAAAGATTTAAGTAGTGCTGTGGATCAGCCAGGCACATTGCAAGGACAAAGCTTCAAGCATTCTGATCAAGATGGCTACAACACCCCTCTTTCCTGATGTTCCTCTTTCTTAGCAAAATTTGGGTCTTGGCAAATTATTTTAAATGTTTTGTTGATATCTGTGGTTGGCAGCATTATATTCAGAAAAGCAAGAATTTATATATTCTCTTTTGCAGTTGCAGTCTTCAAATATTTAATTAACCAATGATCTGTGTTAAATTTCTTTTTACTAATAAATAAATAGTTTGCATTTTTTCAACTGTATATGATTAGTATTATCTGGGTGTCCAATGCAATAGTTTGCTGCTCAGAACATGGCTATCTTCCAGAAGTTTCATGAGCTTTTTCTTCAGGTCTGTTCTAATAGTGAACCACACCACTTGTGTGTGTACCCCTAGACTACATGGTTGAGGGACACTGTAAAGTGTGTGGAAGGGCCTGGACATCTGGGTTTCAGGGTCCACATTCATACCTGAGAGGCTTCTTGTGCTAAGGTTTGGAGCCAGGAGAAATGGTGGGCTGGAGGTTGAAGGCTTGTGGGGAGCCATTCTGTATGACTCACACCTTCCATCCTGAAGCCAGAGGCTCTGACTTATCACTACATTTCTTAGTGACTTGGGCATTGTCCCAGCTCAGGAAGTTGAGGGCGTCTCTTTAGATGTAGGCATGTCACCCCTGGGGTTGAGCTATACTCACCTTTTTTTTTTGTAATACTATCCCTTTGTCCTGTTTGGGATAGAATGTTCCTTGGAACTGCACTTTGTGTGTCCCCTTCTCTTGCTCTGCCTTTGGGTGTGGCCTTCCCAGATGTCAGTCAACCTGCTGACAGCAGACATCAGGAAGCTAAATTCATACTCCGGACACCTGACCCCTTGCCTCATTTGAATGGATTCTTCTCAATGAAAAGGGTCAGCACATTCTCTCTCTCTCTCTCTCTCTCTCTCTCTCTCTCTCTCTCTCTGTCCCTCTCTCTGTCTCTCTCTCTCCAGAATCCTAAGGTCAGAGGAGCCTTCACAGGACCCAAATAAAAAGGTATCTCTGTTTCTTGTGTGGTTATTTCATGAAGTCCAGTTCACCTGGAGTGACCCTGAGTGTTTTAGTCTTGAGGAACGCGACAAGGGCCAAAAGTCTGCTTTGTTCACATGGCCACATTCTGGTGGAAGTAATTAAAAGATGTTGAGAATTTTAAATTGAAAACTGATCTTCCAGTAATTATGAAAGTATGAGAATATAGTTTCATTTTGTTAACATGATTTAAAACTTTCAGATTATATATTACCTGAGATCCTCTTGCTCTGGGTTCCATAATTATTTGGAGTGTATTTGCCTCTTTTTTCCAGCTCTTATGACCCTCTGGGGTACTAAAATAACTAAAAGGAGACAAAGGTAAGTCTAATTTATGAAATCATGAGAGAATGATTGACATCATATTTCAAAACACATCATGGGAAGTAAGGCCGTCCACATTTCTAGTTTATCTCAAAAGTACACATTGTGAAGAGGCCAATTTAAATTAGGAAACTCTACCCATGCTTTGCAATATTTTCACCCTAGAAACTAGAAGAGATTATTAGAGGGAAGTCACTATGATAGAAGATGTTCCTCTAATAAATAACTTCCACTAGTATTTGGATCTTTCAATATTCATTATTTCATCAACCAATTTTGTCCCGTTGTCCCAGATGTGGAACACCTATAAAACTTAAATGTAGGGGCTGGAGATGTAGCGTGGTGGTAGAGTACTTGCTTAGCATGTGTGAAGCTTTGGGTTGAATTCCTAGTACCACACCCATGTAGAAAATCAGATTAAAAACTTAAATATAGTATGCAATATAATTGTGTAATATATGATCTAATTACATAATAAGAAGATAATATTAAAACATATTTAAGCTTTAGATTATTATTTACAACCTATTGGCATCTGTATCATTTTCATTGAAATATTTATAGAATTAAAAACTTGGGAGTTAATGGGTTAATAATTCATTCATTATTAATTTGTTAATTCCTTTCATTAAATTTACAACCATTTGCTATGTTCCTGGAAATGTGGTACACACCCTGGGTATTCTTCCAAGGATTGACAGATCACCCAAATATCAATTGTAGACTCTCTCAATATCCAACAGAGGGAGGTGAATGGAACTCTTAAACAAGATGTGAGATGAGATGATGGGGGTGAGAGTTTTAAATTACAGGTTCCAAAGTCGAACAATCTCCTTGGGGTTCAGCTTCATCTCTTAACAGAGGGCCAGTGACTTAACCTCTCAGCATCCCTTTGTTTATGCAACAAAGACAATAATAGCATCTACCTCAAAGGGCTCTCAGAAAATGGGACAAAACAATACTTGATGAAGCTCTAATAAGAGTATCTACATACAGTCAGACTTCATACTAATTATTCTAACAAATTGAAAGGGAAACAAGGCCAAAAGAATAGTACAATTGTTTGATCCTAGAGAAGCACAATGCAGAAAGATGAACTTGATCCAGTCCACTGCCATATGACAGCAAAATTCCTAATAACTCTCCAGTCATATTGAAGCAAACCTGATGCAAGAAATTTTAGTTTAGATGATACAAGTGACCTCAAAATTATGTTTAAAAAGTCACATTTTAAGTGTTTTTAAAAAATATTTATTTATTTATTTTAATTAGGTATATATGACAGCAGGATGCATTTTGATTCATTGTACACAACTGAAGCACAATTTTTCATTTCTCTGGTTGTACATGAAGTAGTGTCACACCATATGTGTAGTCATACATGTACTCAGGGTGATGATGTCCATCTCATTTCAAAATCTTTCCTGCCCTTGAGCCCACTCCTCATCTTCCCCTACCTTTTGCCCAAAGTTCCTCCATTTTTCCCATCCCCATTGCCCCCCAATAAGGATCAGTATCCACTTATCTGAGAGAACATTTGGCCTTTGGTTTTGGGGACTGGCTTACTTCACTTAGAAAGTAAGACAAATCCATCCATTTACTGGCAAATGTCATAATTTTATTCTCTTTTAATGTTAAGTAATATTCCATTGTGTGTATAGACCACAT